AGTATCCACGGCAGTGTCGCTGCGCTTGGCTTAGCGCCGAGACACTACCAGTGTCTCCAGATAGAATCTTTTCTATCTGTACTAATAATATTTTCTTTGTAACTTGTACGATTATTCTAGTATTATCAAATATTTGTTACGTAACTAATTGCCCTTTAAAAATGTATATGTGGGGCAGTTTTTATAGTTATTTAATATTAGTTTACATTTATTCAACTTTTACCAAATTTTTTTAGTAAATTAAGTATTATTAATACTAATGTATCTCTGTTACTAATACATAACTTATAATTAGCATCATTAAGATTAATTTAAAATTAGTAAAAAAACAGATACGTTTCATAGTTTTACATTAACAATCTTATTTCATACTTAGGCTAGCAGTTTGCTGATGCACTTGTTGAATCCTATTAGTAGTTCGCTACAGTGTTGGACATGTGCGCTGTACCCGGCATGAAAGCTACTCATGTGGCAGCAAAACTGTAAAATGACGGATATACAGTTTGTTTCTCAATCAGATTTGTTATTAGATAATATATAAAAGAAGAAACTCAAGAAATGTATTAATATTTAATATTTTTATTGAGTAATTTAAGTAAACTAATTAAAGTTTAGAAACAAATACTCTAATATAAATTATTATTTTTAAATAGAAAAATTTATGCCGTGGAGATTGATGCTAAAAGATTTAAAACCTTACTCACTCAGATATAAAAGATTCGTGCCCTCTGTGTGGAGCCTCTTAATTAAGACGTTTTAACTCTCGATCCAAAATTGTATTCACACGTGGAATACATTTTAGTCGATCCAACTTGTTCTGGATCAGGTAAAAATTTTAATGTAAATTATATAATAATGTCAAATTTTTAAATTAATCAAAAAATAGCATAAAGGACAGAATAAGATAATAGAAAATAATTTTTTTTATGATTCTTTGCACTATTCCTATTCGCGAAACGAGTAATTATTTAATTGTAAATTATCTTCTGTAAAACATACCGACATAATTTTCATTTATGTATAATTTACGATATAATCTTACAATTTTCATTAAAAGCATTATCGACAGACCGAAACGGAGCGAGATGGATGAAACGTCCGAACCAAAGCGCTTGAAAAATTTACAATCTTTTCAAGTTTATCTTTTGAGATATGCGCTGTTCAATTTTCCAAATGTGAAAAGAATAACCTACAGCACATGTTCTCTAAATTCCGAAGAGAATGAGGAAGTAATAGACGAAGTTCTGGTCAATGTTGGAAATGCTTACCGTTTGCTACCAGTTAGGCAATGGCTGAAAAATGACTGGACAAACTTTAGCTCGAAAAAATACAACTGCGGAGATTTATGTTTGTATTCGAAGCCAGATGATGATTTTTGCAATGGTTTTTTCGTAGCAGTATTTGAGAGAAATTTTGATGTAACTCTGCCAAAGTGCAAACTTAAAGGGGGTAACGAATATAGTATGAATCTTATTAAGACTAATTTGAATATGAAAAAAGATGACATAGCGAAAACATTCGCACATCAACAAGAGAAATGTGAAAAGAAGAAGGAGAAGAAGAAAAAAGAAGAGAAGAAAGTAATTTCAATGAGTGATGAACAAATGAAGATATCGGCAGATATTTTTGAATTTGAAGTACCTGACATAAATAGCAAAATAAAAGCAAAAAGTAAAAAAGAAATTGAAAAAATGGATGTTTGCAATGATTCATTTAATTTTAATCATAAAACATTGAATGAATCTAAATATATACAAAAGGAGACATTGGATGTTTAATGGAAACGAAAAAATCGAGGAAGAAAAGAAAATCGAAGCATGAAAATACACTTCAAGAAACTAATTATGACGAAAAAGAGCAAAATAAGGAAATTGAAGTTGAACTGCCAAAGATAAAAAAGAAAAAAGAAAATAAAGAAATCAAGATTGATAAAATTTATAAAATAGAGCAAGCGGAAGAAACTGTAATTGAACCATCAAAGAAGAGGAAAAAAAGTAAAGAGATTTATTAAATAGAAATAAATATGTTGTTAAATAAGAAATCATGTATTTTTTTGTATTGTATCATCGCGTTATTCCTTATTCCGTATTTAGTCTGTTTATAAAATTACCAATAATAGATGATAATAATGTATAAAGATTGTTTTTTGCTATGTTAAAATTTTCTAAGAGTCTAGTGCTGAAGTCTGTGCTTCTTTATTTGCATTTTTTGTATCTTTTAATTTTTTTCCTTTATCTAAATAATGGGTACATACTTACAAAAGATAACAAAACCATTTGTTGATTACTTGGCTATCTACTACTAAATCAAATGTCAATGATCAATATATCAACTTTTCACGATTGATAACTGAAAGAGCGAGTAAATTTTTTTTACCTACTGCAAGTACACACTCATTGAATGAGGGAAAACAAGGTAAGAGACAGAGAAAATGAGAATACAATGAGTTGTGTAAAATCTATCCTAAAGACTATTTCGCTAACTAAACGTATATATATAATATTTATGATTCCATCGGTAAAAATAAAATGCGTCATACTGTCGATTAAATTAATAAATGTTATCTCATTCAAAGAGAGATTCTTCAGAATCTATAGGATCTGCAGATAATATATACAATCTGAAACTTAACTTGATAAAATGTTTACAATGATACTTTTAAAATGTTTTTTTTTTCCTTTTAAACGCTTATATATTTTTATTCTTTGAATGTTTAAATAAATTAATTCAATCTCATTTATTAGTGATTCAAGAATTTTATTACAGAAATTTTCTGCAAAGAAGACGAAATACAAGCTTAACTTTTTAATTTGTTTTTTTTTCCCCTATATATATGTTGTGTATACAGGACGATTTTCAAAATAAAAAAAAGGATCAACCGACATTTTGTCTCGCTGTCATATATTAGAAAAAAGAATATTTTTGAAAACATAATTCGCATAATCTGACAACGGTTATATGATATTACGTCATATAGTATAGGCAAGTATAAACTCATTTTATCAGTAATTCGCGACAAGGTGGCACGGAAGCCTGTTGACCTCCTTGAAGTCAACCGATAAGCATGTCGATTATGCCGAGGTATAATTACGGAGAAAAAACCTTTTCTGACACTGACACACACACACACAAACACACGCGCGCGCGCACACACATATATAAACGTTGATATAATTATGCGATAACTATGATTCAGTTTTCTAGCTTATCCCTTTACTGTGCGGTACATTACTTAACTCGCTAGAATCACGTCGCGTGAGTCACGACACGAAATGTCGAGAAATATATTGTCTATTAGCACTATAACTTAAAATATCATATAAGAACTAATCGCGATGTAATATGTATGATTACGAGGTCTCAGTTAGAGAATTGAAATTATTGCGTCACAACTAGCGCGCGGTGCATCAAAATTGATTTTCTCAAGATCGATTTTCTTATGATTTTTATTTCTTTAGCCACAATTAAGCAATGACTTTCAAAGAAACGAATTCGTTTCTCTCAACTATACATATATGTAATATTATTTGGATTCAATATAGAAAGTTTAAAAACGGAGAGTTAAAATATTTTATGAATATTTTTATTTTTATATCGCAAGCGAATTTAAACTTGTGTGCTTTCTCTTTAATATAGGAGTAATACAACTAACACAAATAAGCATGGATCTTACATGCGATGTTAAAACAACTGGACATCAACAAATTTCCAAATTTTCATAAATTTATATTAAGAATCTTTATTTTAGACCGCATATGTGAGAAACACAATCAATATTAGAAATTTAAAATGCCTATATTACGGTCGAAGCTGGATCTTCATTGCTTTAAATAATTCAATCTTGAATTACTAATATACACTATATATGTACTTGATGCATTTATATCATATTGTAGTCTTTTCAAACTACGCGCCGAATTGTTTTTCCGGACTATAAACGCAATTAAAACTACTCTAGTAATCGCGAATTAAATTGACAAGTAATTTAATAATTTGATGCTATCATCAAGTATCATATTATAAAGATGTTAATATATTGAAACTGTTAATAAATTTATTGCGAAAAATATGGTATATATGCAAGTATATATATAGTGTATATTAGTAATTCAAGATTGAATTATTTAAAGCAATGAAGATCCAGCTTCGACTGTAATAGGCATTTTCATAAATTTTTTGCAATTAAAAAAATTTTAATATTTCGTAAAAATCCAAAAGTATATATGCTTGTAAAAGATGGATTGAATCATGCGTCGTATATCTCTAGTATGTGTCATACGCGATTATCGGCAAACATTCGCTTTTCGGAACGGCAAAAGCGTAATTAGTGATAAAAGAATAATTAATGCTTTCCGCACTTTTGTGATGCGTCTCTTTGAAATTTTAATGTCTATGCAACAAGTTCCGCGTTCACTGACACGGGGCGTCGACGCCACCCCGACAAAGAGCGAGGATGGAGACGGCGTGAAAGGACGTCGACGGAGGCCGGCGGCGCCGAGGTTGCGCGACCACTCGACGTCGGGACGCCATCGTCGAAGGACGCATGAATATGTATACTGCCACTGCGATCTCCGCGATTCAGCCGAATTAACTTCGATAAGGCAATTCGTCCGCGATCCATACTGGCGCGTCGACATGAACGCCACCATTAATGTAATAATGATAATGCCGTGAATTTCACGTCGATCGCGAATCGACAATTGCAGCATAGTGTCAGTGAACTTTGGTGAACTTAGTGTTTTCTTCAATTAACAGATTCTTTCTTGCTTTGTTTCCACGTTCTTGTGCCAGATTGAATCAAGTTAGTATAAAATATTTCTATTTTATTACATTATTTTTAAATAAAGAATTAAAACAACAGTTACGGCAAGTAGCTTAATTACATTTTTAATGGATTTTTCTTTTTATAGTGTACTTACTCATTAATTTTTATACAAAGTTGTGTGTGTTTAACGATTGTAACGCAGTCGTACGTTTTAAAAGTAATCGATTAAGAATAGACTTTAATCTTTTATTTTTGAATCTTATTTTAATTAAGTAATATATAAGGGTTGATTTATAATAGGCCTATTAACTTATGCCGTAATCTGTAAAAATTGACTAATTACAGTCAAATGGGAGAGAAATAATCGACTATAATTGGTCAATTCTTACAGATTACGGCCTACTATAAGCCAACCCTAATTCTCTCCTTTTATAATTAAGTTTTTTCCAAGAAATTTAAATAGTAAAACATGATTTCAATAAATTTAATTTGAATAATATTGAAAAAGATAAAACTTATTCTCCAAAAAAAAAGAAAAAAGATTAATTTGAATATAGTGAGGAAATTAATAAAGAAAATATGAATAAAAGAGGCTTTTAGGTTCCTATTGTAAGGTAAAATCAATAATTTTGTTTTATATGGAAAGATAAAAAGTTTTTTGTATCAGCCTAATAAATTGTTATTTTTCTTTTATATAATAACACTTAAAACATTAATAAATGTAATATTATAATACAAGATTAGGAATACAATACGTTTTACGCAGACGGTCATATAATTTGAGTATATTTTTTTAAATATTCAAATAGATATTTTTTTATGAAAATTGATTAAATTTCAGTACGATTGACATTTCAAAGCGTCTTACGTCTATATTTTCAAAAAGATTAGCATCGTTTTAAAATATTGTTACAAGTTTTTTCCTTTTATCGACTTATTAGACCAACTAGTATGATATTATAACGATTTTGTATTGGTATTCACTATGATCGAGATATTGTCTTTGTCAGATGAAATTGTTGCTAAATAATCCAGATATTAAACGAGATGAAAAACGAGCATATAAATCATTGCAGAAAGTAGCCGATGCTGTTTTGCATTTCGAGAATGGTGTGTCACGCACGCCGAGTCTCATGCATACCAGAGGTCAGCAGGGGATAGTTGTTCGAGTTATATCGCGATTTTAGACTCGACGTGATGGAAACGCGATCTGAAATTATTAAATCAGATGAATGTAATGTTATATAATTTTTCATATTTCCATTTTAATTAAACGTTCGCAAAATTACTAAACTGCTTACGTAAACTCAAAACTCGGATATAAGTAATGTATTGTCAAGAACACAGTAAAAGAAACATATAGATTTGAAAACTAAGCGAGTATTATAGTAGGTATATTGCCAATCACTTGTAACGGTACGTCATGACAGTGACGATCATGAAGAGACGACGTATGAGAATTGACAAAATATATATCTGTCTAAATTGCTAATCGATGGATCTGCAGTGGGAGTTGCAGTTGCAAAATAAAAACGACCGATCGATCGGGAATCCCAGGCTATCACGCAACAGTGATCGACTGACCAGCGCTTATATAGCGTTCTCAAAGTGGCCATTCGTGGCATTCGTATCATGTTTTGATATAACAAACCTTGAAATATCAAAAAATATTGCATGCTTTACTTGTACTTGCGATGCAGATCTAATTTTGCAGACAAATTCGGTTAACCGATGTATGTTTTCATGTCAGCTATATGAAGGCAAACAATGTTCTTTCATCTTTTTGTAATGATTTGTACTGACATCAAATTTATTCGCATTCAATTACTTATATTCTTTCGTCAACTTAGAATCAGATTTATAATTTTTTCCAATACTGCAGATGCGAATTAGAGAATCAGTGATATGCACAATTGCTATATTTAATTATGATATAAATAAAATTGTATATCTGATAAAGTACTTTTTTACTTTATTCTAATTGTCTATCAATTTTTTTTTAAGTAAAAACCT